CCTACATTTAAGACAAATGATGCTTAGAAATGTTAAGTAACTTACTGAAATCACTGATCTTTGTCCAGCTGAGAAAAATTTGACTCTCGAAGAAAATGTTTCTGCTTTATTACCCTTTCCACATCTGGACAAATCATCCTTCCCAATCTACTTTTGCAAACCACTTTTTGAGCATAATTACAGAACTTTTCACTTTACTTCTGTTACATTGTTAGTATGATAAGGTGTCTGTCACTCTGCTTCATTGTGTGTGACCTCCTTCCATTCCTAATGTCATCAGCAAATCTATTTGTTGATAAGATATAGTCTACACCAATCATTAAGAACCCAGAACTTACAGATGTGTCTAAAACAAGATACACACTAAGATTAGAATAAAAATTTTTGTGACAAAATTTATGTAGTTTTTAGAACTAAGATTGGTTTAAAAACTGAAAACTCAGTTTGTTCTCTGCCCATGCAGATATGAAAGTGCAATTGGACATAGCTATGACCATCCAAATCTTCCATGCTTATAAAGAACTGATTCAAGTATTTAATCTGTTGCTCTTTGCAGACACCACCTCAGAATTGCTGAAACCTCTGTACCTTTATGGTGTAGGAGTTTCTTCTGTTTGTGTGTTGCTTTCATTGGTTAATGAATAAAGAAACTGCCTTGGCTTAGTTGATAGGGCGGAACTTAGGTAGGTGGAGAAAACAGAACTGAATGCTGGGAGGAAGAAGAACAGAATCAGAGAAAAGCCATGGATCCTCTGCCAGAGATGGACGCCAGTTAGAATCTCTGGTAAGCCACAGCCATGTGGCGATATACAGATTAATGGAAATGGACTAAACTAATATGTAAGAGTTAGTCAATAAGAAGTTAGAGCTAATGGCTAAGCAGTGTTTTAATTAATACAGTTTCTGTGTGGTTATTTCAGGTGTAAGGTAGCCAGGTGGCAGGGACAAACAACCCCACCCCCTCCGCTCCCTTTAGCATCATTTGTTGTAACTGTGGGCCTGGGCACCTGTTCACACTCAATTCCAGATCCTGACTTCTGCTGCTAGTCCCTTACTTTTATTTTTCAGGGCCCAGGATGTAGAGACTTACTTAGAGACCACTGTTGTTTTATATAAACTTAACTTAATATTTGGGAGAGAAGGAAGTACATAGCATCAGTGTAAGAAAAAACTGAATATTTATATTTTCTTAAAAACATGTTTTTATTACCCACATTGGTTGGTTCTTTCCCTAAAAACCTTCATCTCTCCATTCTTACCTTTCAGAGGAGAGCACTGGACTCTTCATCCTATACAGAGCTCTGGGCAATAGTCACTTACCCAAAGGCGCAATTTCCTCTGCTTAGTAGTGAAGGAATCTGAAAGGGTGTTAGTTTTGAGACAGCACCCTGCTGTAGAGGCAGCCTCTGGCCATTGTTGTCTGGAAGTCGCAGTCTTCCTGTTTCAGCCTCCTGGGTACTGGAGCCACATGTCCACAATACCACTCTCAACCTCAGAAGGTTTCCCTGAGTTCCCTTCCTCCTTCAGCTTCTATCCCTGTGATCTACACCAGCAATGTGGAAGCAGGGTTGCTTTTTCAAGTACGACATAGTTTCTGAGAAGGTAGAAGAAAGTTTCAAATTTACCCACATTGCTTTCTCATTCTATAAGTTCTGTGTTGCACCAACAGCCCTGAAAATTATAGAATAAAGAATGGATGCAGAAAAGTCAGAGAAGAAAAACAAAAACAAAAAAGGACAAAACAAAACAAAACTAATAATATAACAGCGAGTTTCACTTTCCCAAACAATCCAAGAACTCAAATGGACTGGGGCAGTGTGGGAGAATCTAGGCTGCAGGATTAAGGGTGGATGATGCCCTGACCCTCTTGTTCTTGGATCCTACTTGTCATTGGAGGAAGGTTATCGATACACCAGGCAGAAGAGGAGCTAATAGAAGCCATCACACTTTCTGCTTCCTCTGAGAAGCAGCAGCCTTTAATCCAAATAGCCATCTCCACAGGTTCTTAGATAGTGATGGATAAAGTCAACCAGGTTACCCAGTCTGTATTTCCCATTGCACTAGGGTTAGCACAAGGAATGATGGCTCTAGTCAGTTGGGACTGGAGACTTCTGAAAGGTGTTGGCAGCAAATGCCTGTGCTGAAAGGCTGGTGGGAATGATGGTGCTTTGTTAATGCCAACAGACAGGAGCTACCCAGAACTGTCTGCTTCCTCTAGTGGATAACTGGAACAATGAGACCATCTCTATCACAAACCTTGAAACAGAGGCAACCTAGGAGGTGAGTTGCTGACTCTATCAAAATCCTCATTTATTCAAATTTATCATCACAAGATACTGAACATCACCCTAAACAGAATTTATCCACAAGAAAATACTTTAGTCTTCTGTGTACCTGAATTTGTGAGCCAAGACTACATTTGCTCCATGGACCACGATGAAGCTGACAGAGGCAGACATAGGGAGATGACTCTAGCCAGTGCTAGCATCAGTGTGAATGAGGACTGTCTGAGCAGACTGTGTGGGAGAGGACCAGCAACTGTGCAAGGGCAAGGTCAGAGAAGGAAACTCATGGAGGCACCACACATAAGTTGCAGACAGTTACCTGCAATGGGTATGAAGATCAAGCCAAAGCCTACAATTATTTACACAGAGCAGAAGAATTCCCAAGGGGCTGGATAGACAATGGCATGATGTTGGCTCTCAGAACCCCTGGACTGGGTGCATAGAAAACGTGGCTGATTCTATTAGAAATGATACCGGCTGATGTCCACTCTCTCTTGTTTTTCCTAGGATCACATTCTTGTTCCTAATCACACTCAGCCCCGTGCCACACAAGAAAAATACCCTTTCTCTTACTGTAGAAACCAGTGTTTAGCAGAATCTAAGCATGGGAAGTGAAACTCAGTACCATATGAAATGTAGTGTTAACAGTCCAGGCCTTAATAGCAGACCACAGCAAACTGGCTCAGTATTTAACATATAAAAACATCTTCCCTGTACATATGTGCCTATCCAGCATTCCTTAAGGTTATTAAGAATTCTATTTGGAACTGGGAAACATTTTATTTCTGCAACATGATGACTTTTTCTGCTGGGTGCAGCCGCCCTCTGGTGGAAATGGGCAGTGGTTTCAGGGCAGCCACGGCAGCCAGGCTGTGTAGTTCCTTGATGCTTCTAGAATCTTCCTATGGCTTGCTCTTCAGATCCACCAGTGATTCTGTCATCCACTGACACCTCCTTACCAGTACCTTTTTCTTGCGAGAGTGGTCTGGCATTCCCATATGGCTGTAGGCTGGTTAAGGGACATGTGGAAGGGCCCATAAGACCACACAAAACAGCGACTCCACAAAGATTGGTTTTACAGAACTAAAGCACTGTAACAACCAAACAACTGACTGACAGGGTCTGAAAAGCTTTTCCAGGATGAACACCAACCAGCAGAAAATTCTGGATAAAACAAAACAAAACTGTTGTCACCAAAAACTTTGAGCTCGGCTGATTCACATGCAGAGGGCACTTTTCCTCAGTACAAGTAGGCCCAGCTTGCTTCAGCCATCTTTTATTTATTAAATATGTTTTAAATGATCTGTATTTGTTTTGGAAGGATATATGTCTATGTACCACACATGTGTGTTACCTACAAAGGCTAGAAGAGGGTGTCAGATCCCTTGGAACTAAAGATACGATAGTTGTGAGGCGCCATGTGGGTGTTGCGAATTGAACCCAGGTCCTCTGGAAGAGCAGCCAATGCTCTTAACATCTGAAATATTTCTTTAGTCCTTCAGATCTGTTTTTAATAGAATGGTTACATATTACAAAGGTGATATGACTACCATTTTGATTATTTTGTTTTATTTAAATCGTTATAAAGTAAAAAATAATGGAAAGGATTGATCATCCTTGACTCTAACCATTCGCCACAGTTTGTTCAAAAGGAAAAGTCATCCAGGGAGGCAGGCCTGTGTTTTCTGTTTACAACACAATCTTGTTTGGAAGATTTTAAAGGTTATTTTTGAAGAAGGTAATCAACACACTTGATTTTTTTGCATCTTGGCTCAGTTACTTAAAATGAAAACATCTTACTAATTTCTTTTTAGTACTTAGGGATTATTGTCTAAATGTGATCTAGTAATTAGTGTAATTTACCTCAGAAGAAAAATGTGTTGAAATTAGCTTCCCCTGTGAAAAGTTCTGTGAGAATTTTCTAAACAAGCACCTGCTCCAAACAGCAAAGCAAGTGATAACAATAAAGAGAATCTTTACATTAAATTGGGAAAGTTATGAACAATGTTTTTTTTGGGTGTGTGTGTATGTGTTTAAACAAGTAAAGCTTGCCTGCAGATCAGAGTGCTGAGCAAACTCACTAAAGGCCAGGCAGTGGTGGCACATACCTTTAATCCCAGGACTCAGAAGACAGGCAGGTAGATCTCTGTTAGTTCACGACCACTCTGGGCTACACAAAACTGATCCAATCTAAAAGATAAAAAGAGCTCACACAAAGAAGATCCCAGCACTTGGGATCACATGCCATTAGGAGCGTTGCAGTCTGAGCAGCAGTCAGTCTAAGGACAGGATCCTCCCTTTGGTCTGAGCATTGGCACAGGTAAGAACTCTAGTGGCTGGCTGCTCTGCTTCTCTGATCCTTCAGCTTTCATCCCCTACTTTTATTAAAAGCAATTAGAATTTGTGCTACAAACAATGAAAACTTGAGGCAGTGAGGCACATCCCTAGGCTATCCTCAGAGGCAGTGAGGAACATTCCTGGTCCATCCTTGGAAACAGTGAGGCCCATCCCTGGCCCATCCTCAGAGGCAGTGAGGTACATTCTGAGCCCATCCTTGGCATTTCAAGCTCTCACTGCTCTAGAGAGTCTTCCTAGCTCTGACAGAATCACTGGATTCCTGCTGACTTTCAACCAACACAACTCATCAGACACTAAGGTGCCCAAACTCACTTCTATTCCTTACAGGATTCTGGTTTGCTAGCAATGCAATAGAGGTTTCACAATGAGAAGGACAACATTTATTCATTCAACAAACACTGAATACCTGATAAGATTACTCTACTCTAAGAACATACAGCATGTAAGTAGCAAACATAAAGTTGCAGGACATCAGGTAATGGTATCCCATAGGTCACTGAATGAGTGAGTTTTCAGTGTTTCAGGAAGCTAACCACAGTTGATGATATATAAACAATGAAGCCAGGAATGCCAGAATTGTTTTTAGCAGAGCTTCTGGCTGACTGCACCTGCAATGTTCTCAGTAGTGCACTTCCGGCCTGGTGCTGTGATAAGTCACAATGTCATTTTCGACTCTGAGACTTAGGTTTTCAATTACTAACTAGATGAACAAAATAAACAAACCATGAAGCGTTGATTATAAACCCAAATGTTTCACAGCACGGAACAGCCTTGACTTCTCCATCAGTGACAAAAATAAGTTTCTGGACGGTAGGTCTAGAGAGGCAACTGATGCAGAGCGCATGTTAGCCCCGGACAGCACTGGTATCAACACGGCTGCTGCGGCCCAGCAGCCACCTGGAGCAGAGCTGCAAATGGCATGCTGTATGGCAGGCAGGCAGGACTACTTCTTCATGTCGAGGATGGCACTTCCGGGTCCACGGCTCTTAGCACTGCAGATGTTACAGTATTGTGCAGGAGCGTTCTGAAAAGACATCAAATGCACGGGTTAAAAAGCTGTCTCCTTTCACATCCAGAAATATGATTGATTATTGCACCATTCAGGGGGCCCAGGGCTTTGAAGCGATTAAGTATCATTTTTTTCTCGGAAGAAGACTTTTTAGCTCAGACAGGTCACACCCTCCTGTTACCCTGCAACCCAAAGGACACCAGAGAGCTGGGAGATGGCTTGGCTGGTACAGAGAAAGAATTAGAGTCTGAGCTGAAGCCCCAGAACCTATGTTAAAACTAAAGCCAAAACCAGATGTGGAGGCATGTTCTTATAATCCAGGGCTAATACATGTGGCCAGTGGGTCCCTGGGCTAAATGGTCAGGCAGCCTGGACGACTTGGTGAGAAGACACTGCTGTAAAGAGGACAGCTCCTGAGAAACGACATCTGAGGTAGTCATCTGGCCTCCACATGTGTATATAAACACATGCAAAACAAAAGGGTATCACAGCAGAACCGGCCTGGTGCAGCTTGGGAGTAACAGCACCATGCCATCAAGGCAGGCTGAGAAAAGGCCAATAGTTTCAAAGTGTTTTTTACCATACAGGCCACAGCCACAGCCCAGTAGCCATCAAGTCATTAGCATGAATTCACTGAAGTGTGTTTGCTTTTACGGTAACTAGAGTATACTGCATACTTCACATTTGCAAAGTCAATAGAGCCTATGTGTTACACACACACACACATACACACACACACACACACACACACACAGGAAGGGCAACCCCAGAGAAGATTCCAGGACCCTTTTCAGATACCATAGTCCACAGATGACTCAATTCCTTTTGTTCTGGTTTAGGCTCTTAATCTTTTTTCCTCAACTTGATACAAGTCAGAGTCACCAGAGAAGAGGGAACCTCAGTTGAGAACTGCCTCTATTACAGGGGCCTGTAGGCAAGTCTGTAGGACACTTTCTTGATTAATAATTGATGTGGGAGAGTCAAGTCCTACAGGCAGTACCACTTCTTCCTAGGCAGGTGGTCCCAGATTAAATAATAAACCAGGCTGACCAAGCAAGTATCCATGTTCTTCCATGGCCTCTGCTTTAGCTCTTGCCTCTACATTCCTGCCTTGGCATCTCTCCATGATGGACTGCAACTTTTAAGCAAAAAACCCTCTCCTGACCAAGTAGGGTTTTGTTAGTGTTTTATGAAAGTAACAAAAAATTAGAACACCTTTACATATAAAGGCACATAACCTATGCATATACCCCATATGTTTAAAACATCTCCAATTACTTACCATACTGAATACAATGTAATGCTGTAACACTGCTTTGTTTAGGAAAAAAAGACAAGAAAGGAAAAGCCTCTACATTTATTACAATGTAGCCTTTATCCAATGCTGCTGAAGAAAGGTTGGATGAAGGGATGGATGCAGAATTTATAAATTTAGCAAAAAGTACAGGACCAACTGTCTTGACTACTAGAATTAAGAAAGCCAGAGCCGTAAGGATGATGGATTCTAGCTGTGAACTCTGATGCTGTTTCTTTTTAGCTGGCAGGTGTTGGGCTGACAACTTACTATGCTTGGCATGGGCAGGCACTCCTTGTGGAACATGTGTCGGCAATGGAAGACCACCACACTGAAGGGCTTAGCTGCATCTGCAAGGGGTTCAGGACAAAAGGAGAATTCAGTGCATCGGACAGACTTAGAACTGGTTCACCCAGCCTTGAACGGTTTTCCCAGCAAGAGGCTGCATTTGAGGAGGCTTCCTTACAAAAGAATCTTGAGGGGTGAGGCGCCCTTTGTATGAACACTATAGTTTACAGGTTACTTGTTTGGTCTCAGCATCAGTTACCAAATGATCAGTGCAGGACAATTTCATAGCAAAAATCGTGATGTATATTTGAAAAACTATAATGTACGTGTCTGTGTGTTCTGACCACAACTCCAATGACTCCATGCTGAAATCAAGTGTGTAACTTGATAAAATGTTTCAGTTCACCTTACCTTTGCCAAGACCTCTCACTGAGGCCTGAGGCTAAACTGGGTCAGGACCCCAGGCTTTGTGCATTTACTACTCTTCTGTTTGATCAGGTCCTCTCATCTGCTTCTGCTGTATGGCCAGCTTAGATTAGTTCTGATAAGACCTAGTGCCCTCCACAGAAGAAGCTGATATAACTTTACAGAGACATCCATGACCCTGTTCCCCTGAAATGCCATATAAAGTACCATGGTTTGAGAAGCACTTAAAACCTAAACCTGCTCCCTGTATGAAATGACTCCCCATGTTTCTGTGCTATGGAGCACTTCCTATTGAATACTTCCTAACACCAGGTACTGAGCAGCGACACCTTCGTGCTCTTCCATGCTGATCTATATATCAATTATCCTCACCACTATGCTTTGATTTCTACTTTCAAACTAGGCGCGTCTTTTCTCATGTCAGAATGTTCTTTCAATAAAGAACCTTTTCTTATGTATGAAGCTCTACCAAGAAACAGAGACAGAAGCCTCTACCTTTCAGTGATGATGAGTACTGTTTTCACCAAGGTGGGCTGTGGTCTGGGTGCCTAAAACTACAGTCAAGATGAAGCCACTCATCAACTGATCCCCAAATATACATGTGGGCCTTCCTCTAAAAATTAAAATATATGGATGGTTAAGTTTTCACTTTTCTTTTCTTTAGAAGAATCTCAAAGAAGGGCCTTTACCCAGATCCAGGAGCATCACCTTGTTAGAAGTACCAGCTTTCAGGCCCACACTCCTGGGAACTCTGAGCCCCATGGGGCCAGCACTGTGGGTTCTTGCAAAGCTCCCAGATACTGATATGCCCTGCTCTGTAGTCAGCAGCATCAGCGTTCACAGGAGCAGGGAAGGGGCTGAAACCCTTCCTCAACTGTAAAGTCATACAATTTTTCAGGCACTCATTAGCCAGTTTCAGAATCTCAATTCCAGCCATCATGAACATGTGTTTGGGAAATGATTTCCCCTGCAGGCATCTTACCTGTTGGGAGGATGGGTGAGAGGCACGATTCACAGATATTCTCTTCTGTAAGAAAACACACACACTGCAGGTTAAGCACATTTCCGTTTGCCTGGCCTCTCTGGAAAGCATGGCACACGGTTCTGAATATTCCTTCAGCTTTACCCACCATCGACCAGAACTCCTTTCATTTGGGTTCGGTGCATTTTCTTCAGTAACGACAAAGAGTCAGCAACGAGGATTTTCTTGCAGCCTTCCCGAAGCAGAATCTAGTGTACATGTTTAAAAAGAAAAGACCATTTAGCAATTCAAGTATCAAGAGTGTCTAACTGAGGAATCAGAAAATGTCAGAGGCACTTATTGGTTCTCTTGCCTGCCAAACTTTGTCAAGTGAGCTAGGCATTATTTGTTTTTATGACCACATGGTGGCATTAGTAAAATCAAGTACAAATCCCAAAGTCTTAAAAAGACCCTGCACTAAAATCCTACCGTTATCTTACAGGCTTTTGAATTTTGTGTGTGGTTGCTTGCTGGCACTTTGGTTCTTGCATGATTCATGGAGTTCAACCTTCACATCTTTGCACAGGATGGAAAACCTGTCATTCCAAAGTCATCTACCCACTTAATAAACCCATCTGCTCTTTGACAAACACACTGGGTCTGTCGTGGGCAAGGCATTAGGTGCAGATGAGAAGCGCGCAGAGAAGCCTGTGCTTGTGGGTCACCGTAAGTGCTCTGGTGCCCTTGGCTTTCTTCACAGTGAGGTCATTGTCAGCTCTAAACCTAGACGTGCGATTTTCGTCCCCAGGTGTAAATTCGCACCACTGGGAATGGGAGTGGGGAAAGCAACCACAGTCCTCCATGGCAACCACATGCAATGTAAACCACAAGAACATCAGCTCTGGTGGAATCCAGTCAGAGGCTGCCCAGCTTACATGACGGGACATATTCAGGACCAGAACTGACGACTACAGCTCTGCCCCTGTGGCTTCCATATTTGGGTGTGACAAGCAAAACTACATGATTTTAATATTCTGTATTCACTTTGATAGGACTTGTGGAAAGCCTCCCTCCTCCTTTTTCAATGTTTCTATGAAAATGTATCTTACTATATAAGAATCCTCCTGACTCAATCTCCCAAATGTTAGGTTTACAAGTGTGCACCTCAGTGCTTAGACTTAACTTCCCTGTCAGATCATACTAGAAATGTAACCTTTTAAAGCTTCAAATAAACAGAAATCATATAACATACAGGAAAAAGAAGAAAAACAACACATCAAGAAAGACATTTACAAAATATTGATGCTAGCAAACTTTCTGAAAATTGACTTGCAATTACAGGAAGCTGTTGCCGTCCAATAAGAAAACAATAAACTCGGTCTGAGCCCCTCTGGCACAGGTCTCAGTGTCACTCTCCAGGGTAGACGGCCAGGGCAGAAAGGATAGCAGGCACAGCCCACAGGTTGCAAAGAAAACAGCAAAGCCTAACGGCTGAGAACTCTTCCCCCAGGACTGCGTTTTCACAGCAGGTACAACCTGCCTGCTCACATCTGCTAGGAACATTTTCAGTTTCAAGAGTCAAGAATCCATGAGAAGAAAAACGACAGTGATACTTTCTGCCCAATTTGATCAAAACCCACAGCTCTAAGCCAGAAAAATATGGAAACATTCAAATTGTCACTGGCACGATGCTAGTAAGGTAGTTAACAGAAAATGAGTTGTCCACAGCCAGAATGGTCTTTTGCACTCAATATCTACAATAGTTTAGGGCAACCAAGGCCAGTGAAGGAAAACAGACAGTACTCTGCTGTACAAGCAGTCTCTTTGCTGTGCCGGTTCCCTCTGATACCATTTTCAGAAATGAACATCAGTTTGAACTGTTGAATAGAAGAGAGAGGTAAGACATGTTTTTCATATATGGAGCTGACACAGGAATGAACTTCATTAAGAAAAGAAAAGGGCATTGTGACCACATGAGCTACGATGGGAAGAATATAAGAAAGGGACACTTCATTGTATCACGGACAATGACATGAATGAAGTCTCAAGAGGAAGAAGAGCCTTCCCTTTAATGCATAAGGTAGGGTTGGCGGCAGAGGAGAGCCATGAAAAATCCCCAAACAAAGGCAAATATCTGAGTCTTGTTTCCTTTCGGGAGGAGGTGGTGGAAGTTCTCCACCACATGATTTAGTCCAGACTGGCCAACTTGAAGGAACATGAAGGAGTCAGGTACCAGGGCAAGACAGGTAAGGAGCTATAAAGCCACAGCACAGTAGGGAGAGCTTCCAGGCAGTGGGATCTGGCCTCTTTGAGAGATCATGGTATTAAAGAGACAGGCCACGATCTAACCAAAACAGCTTTACCTGGTTAACAGGAGAATATGATTACCAAGCCTGCTTACTAACCTTTCTTGTTTTAAAAACTCCATCCAACATAAACCACTGCCTTCTCTCTGCTTCATAACACTAGTTTCTTTTTTTTTTTAAATATAAGCAGGTTTTATTTATTTATTTTTTTATTGAGAAAAGGAGAAAAAAAAAAAAACAAGTTTCCACCTCCTCCCAGCCTCCCATTTCCCTCTCTGAGAACTGTCAATAAATATTGACACCTGACACTAGTTTCTTTCTCAAAAAAATATTTATTGACAGTTCTCAGATGGAAAAATATTTTCCATATGGAAGGTCCTTCTATTTTTCCCAGATTATCCACACCTAAGGACCAACTTCTTCCTCTATCCCTTCCATCACCCTTGTTCCTCTCCACTTCCCCTTCATCTGTTTTAAAGAAACAAGCTGCAGCTGTGTGATCAATGATCCATCCCTATGCTATGGCGAAGTTAGATGAGAACATACTTTGGTGTTGACAACCTACGTGAGACCTTAGATCTGCTCCATAGTTTTTTTCTGATTCCTCCAAAGCACATCACCATGGATAATAATTCCAAGTAAAAGCAAAACTGTAGTCTCACAGATACTTCACAAAGCAATAAAGAACCACACATCAGAGAAATAGCTACGGCTCCTTAGAAACAGCTGCTGTGGGGAACGTGCCAGAAAAACTGCCAAGTTTCTGCAGCTTTTATTCGAAAAGGCTCTGAGCACTAGGATTTTGCTGGCTTTGCCTTATTCACTTTGCATGTGCTTGTCCTTAGAAAGCAAATGGCTGCCAGCTAGCTGGCTTCCAAGCCCCATGCGTTTTCTCACTTCCAGCCTCGTCCTGAGGTCATTGGTGTCATGGGACTTCTACTTGGAATGCTTTGCTCGTGTTGGATTACTGCCAAAGACGACTAAGTGCAGAGAGAAATAAAATGCATAAGATAAATGTGAAGGTCTAGTTTTCAGTTTAAAAAGACTTTAAAATCATGTCTGTATTTAACTCATAATAACACAGAGTATATATGAACTAAAAGGATCAAGGAAGTGATGACTGGCTGGCACAGGCCACCTGTGTCACACTTAAATGTGGTGGTAAGATCAAACTCAATCATCTGCAAAGAAAAAAGTCCATTTGGTCTCAAAAGGTTATTTCAAAATTTGCAAGTTTAAAAACCATGTCAGGAAAAACACAGAGAGATTAGATAATACATGAGTGAAAAAGAAATTCATGTTCCCTCCTCAAAGGGCAGGCAAATTGACAGTGTCTTAAACTGACTGTGTCTTCGATTTTAAGTAGCAAATGTAAATGCAGGAAATCTGTTTGTAGACATGGAATGACTAGGTAGCATCTGGGAAAAGAGACCTCAGGTGGAAAATGACTCACTGCACATCACATGACGACCTGGACAGCTCGGGCCTCTGCTCTCAATAAGGACTCGGTCCCCACACTTCCTGCTTCCTGAGGAACAACAGGCCTACTGTCTTTTCTCCAGAGGGAAGTCAGGAAGTGGTCCTGACTGGCACACGTTTTACGGATTACCTGTTAGAGCTGATGCAGTCCTAGAGGAAAAGGCATGACATTTCCTCGCAGGGCCTGAGCCTAAAATTAGTTCAGTATCTTGACATGCCAGCAGGTCACTGACCTTTGGGAGTCTTAGTCTACTCTGAGCAATAGGACTAATGCTAATTAGAGGCCCGCTATGAACCTAAAACGTCTGTCAATAAGACTGGCATAAACAAAGTGACTAGTGACCAAAGCGCTGATTTCCACTTCCCTAACTGCACGGGTATCTTGTGAACATGCTCAACTCCTCTACCTTCCTGCTGAAGAGAGCTGTTGTCAGGAAGTATGAAATGGTAACATCAGAAGAGCTGTTAAGTTTCCTCACAGCTCCCTCCCTCCCTCCCTCCCTCCCTCCCTCCCTCCCTCCCTCTCTCCCATTTCAAATAACAGCTGACTCCACATTTCAGGGCCCACATGACTACACTGTAAGCCTCCTCTCTGACCTCAGTGCACTGAGAAGGTGTATGGCAGAACCAGTGAGAAATCCTTCTGGACCTTTATGTCTGAAGGGTTTCATCACACTAGGGTTTCATTACCTCATACATAGGATTCCTAAAAATTCATTGGCCTGTAATACTTCCCTTAAATTTGGAAGACTTATGGGGGATTGTAATTTTTCTATTATAAATGAAAACATGAAATATAGTTCTATGAAACAAAAAATAAAGACCGATATAATAAAATAAAAGCATGTCTGTGAAAATCTTTCGGGAACTGCCAATGGCTTCAAAGAGACCTGGGATATTTTTATGATGATCACAATAGGATGCTTAGGCAAAAAAGATAAACAAATGACCAATGATAAAAATGAGCAGCTCTTCCTATGGAGAGGGAGGAAGAGAGGGAGAGGGAGAAGAGAAGGAAGAGGGAAGGAGAGAGAGAGAGAGAGAGAGAGAGAGAGAGAGAGAGAGAGAGATCTAAAGTCTTCTTCAAAGAGTCGGAAGCACTTTTGGGAACTGCAGCTTTTCTTGGCATCTCCACTGGGGCCTGTGCTCTCCCCTGGGCCAGCCCTAGTGTGATAGTTTCTGTGGTCTGCCCTCAACTCCCCATTCCTTCCTCTCCTCCGAGTAGCTGTTCTATCCAGGTACTGATGGATAACCATGGCTCTCTGGAGGCACTGGCAAAAGACTTCTGGGTCTCCTTAAATCGCTACCCAACTGCACATTCACATGGTATAAGGAAAGCTCTCTGCGCATTTATAATCTAGAGGGGAAGGCACCGATTCAGGGGATCCTTTTTATGTTAAATGTTCATTTTACATCTCATGCTTTGTATTTTTCAGCTGGCTCAGAACCTGCAAATTTGTTCATAGAAAGTGGATGAATAGTGAGACTGCAGGTTTCACGAGAGCAACACAAGGAGGGTGTGCCAGGCGCTTCTGCTGGCATTACAGGGCTGGCATCAGAAGCATGGCTTCACCCCAGAGACCCATGTCCAAGCACCAGTCTAAGAATCCACTGTCAGGTAGAGGTATCACAGTGGTCCAAAACACATTTTATACATCAGATTTGAAGCCTTGAGCATATTCTACTCTACCTCAGGAAGTCAGGCCCACCAAAGGGGAGGGTACTGTCAGTATCACACCCAGGGTATTCTAAGGTCGACTATTGGCCCCATTTCCCCCAGAGCCCACTCACAAGCCTGTGATGGGCTTCCTAGTCTGGATTACTGTTGTGCAGTTCCTGGGGAACTGCAAAAAAGCAGGTGCTTCTCTTCTCCTGCTTCTCCATATTAGCTGGTTCCTAGATTCTTACTCTCTTCTTTTTCTTTCTCTCTCAAATAATCTCTCCGGGGTCCTCTACAAACCTCCAAGGCCATTGTCCATAAACACCAGCATAAGGTCAGGCTCTGCAGAACAGGCCCTCAGTCTTTCTGCCTCAACTAATCTATTTCCTATGCAGTGCTCCTAAGAGAAAGTTCTGGGCTGTCCACCTCCCTCTACAGAAGAAAAAACCCACCTCTTTCAAGTTATTCCTTCTAGTCATCTCACAGTTCTCTGAGGACCACAGGATGCTGGAATTTCCTTTGTAGTCCCCCTTGCCTGTACCAGCCATTTCTCAGAGTCCATTTGGTTGATTCCATAAGTTCCTGGCATCTCAATTTCCCACCTAATTCTTCTGTGACCACGTTAACCCCACCGTCTTTGAACACCTTCACTGCAGCTACAGAAATGTTACAGTAACAGTACTACACTCCAGAGAGACAACCATTGTCCCTCCTGGTGGGCCACTCCCGCACATTTTCTCACTGACTGTTGGTGCCATTCCCCTGAGTTCAGCAGGCAGTCCTCTACCTTACACCCTTCCCAGTGACCGGTGACATGACCCATCTGCATCACAATGTTCTTCCTACAACCTGGACAACGCATTACTGTTTCCAGGAATGTGAGTTCATCTACTACAACAAAAACACTTCCAAGTGATTGTAAGGAGAATGGTCTGCATTTTAAAAGTAAATGTATTTTAAACAGTTTTGAGTCCTAAGGATGCTACTTGGATTCTGAAACATACTCACTGTTCAGTCTTGTAAAGAGAAAAGATAGGATGCTTAGTAACTAGTGTGTTAATTATTTATATGAAATAACAGGTTCCATTCTTTTTAACACAGATTTTGAACTAAAGGACAAATAAAGCAGGATCAGTGTGCCAGTCAGACAAAGGCTCGTTAGATCCCGTGTTTAAGCATGTTCCAGGCAATGGAGTCCTTCAACGGTTGCAAGGAAAATTACTTGAGTGATTAAAAATATATCTTATTCTCCCAAACTGCACGCAATATTTATTTTCTCTACATTTTGTGACTGGTTCAATTATTCTTTGTAAGTATTCTCGTGCCCTCTTCAATACTACGCAATAACCACCTAAGTGAAAATACGCTTCCTCAAGAGAAAAACTGGAGGTGACTGAGGAATCAAATGGCTTTCCTAAGTTGAGATGTTTTCAGTGTCTCTATTTGAACAGGTTTCCAAACAGTGAATTGCGGTCTGACAGACATCTAAGTGGCTTAGAAACACTTACTTAGAAAAGGATGAATCTGCTCACTCCTATGATCCTTTGTCTAAGGATACGTACCTGCAAGTTATAATCTTGCAAAATTTTAACCAAGGAATCTCTCAAATTGGGAATCTCCATTCCTTCCTTTATACGATGGATTAGTAGAATCGGATCCACATGTGTGCCAATGTTGTTTAGTAAGCCAGTGATAAATGCTACAAAACACCATGCAAAAATAACACATGAGCCACTTGGGAAGCAGAGGCAGGCAGATCTCTGAGTTCAAGGTTAGCCTGGTTGAGAAAGCAAAATTTTGGACGTCCAGGACTGTTACTCAGAGAAACCCTATCTAGAAAAACAAACAAACAAACAAACAAACAAAAACAAAAAACCACCCACTCAAACAAATAAAAACCACATGAGCAATATTAGGAAGCACTGTATTTGTTCACCATTCAACTTTAGATCAAAAATAACAACCTATTACCTTCAAGAAAAGTGTTTAAAATGTGACTTTCTAAACTCTCAAGAACCCTTCCACTTTACACTGAAATTACACTCCGAAGGACTAATTTCACCCTCAGGCTTGCAGAGTCAGGAGGTTCTGAACTTTCTACATGGGATGGGTAAGAATCCCCAGTACTTTCACTGCTCGGATTTATTGTGGATGCTTTCCCATCAAAACATTATTTCATTCGTCTACCTATTCACTTACATTGATTTATACTTTGTGTGTGTGTGTGTGTGCGAGAGAGAGAGAGAGAGAGAGAGAGAGAGAGAGAGAGAGAGAATGCATTCCACTGTGTGCACGATCAAACTTCTCCACCAACCCATCTGGCCATAATTTTAGCCTAGTGTACCCTGAGATAATTCTTCCTCACATAACGGGTTACAATACATACTGACAAGAAGCTTTGCAATCAAATAGCTTCTCTGCTTACGTGGTTTGTCAATGGAATACAGAATCAGGTCTTCCCAGAGTTCTCCATCATCTTGCTCCTTGGCAAACTCGATTGCTTTATCAACATCATGTAATTCCTCCATAATCATCTTGAGGGCACTTCGACTGTTTCCCATTCGGCCTAGATGGGGTGAGGAAGTGTGGGATACTTTATTCATTTAAAAAAGAAACAGCACATTTCTTAATTGGTTTACAAAGCTTCAAAGAAGAATAAAGCTGACTTTCTTACATAACACAGGAATTTCCTGTTTTGACAGTCAAATAAATACTTCCTATTTATTGAATGCTCATGCTGTTGTGTGGAGTGTTCACTGGATGTTGTTATGTGAATGACATCATTTACTCTCACTATAATTCTAGGCAGGATGCTTTACCCAAGTCTCAACTTTAATTTTTTAAGTTTTATTTAATTTTATTATTTAACTTTATGTGTAGGAGTGTCTTAGTTGCATGTATGTACATGTACCATGTATATGTCTACTGTTCATGGAGACCAGAAGAGGGCACTGTATCCCCTAGATCCAGAGTGGCAAAACTACCATGTGTCATGTAATAGCTAGGGATTGAACCTGGGCCCTCTGGAAGAACAGTAAATGCTCTTAACTGCTGAGTCATCTCTCCAGCTTAAAACACTGAATATTTTGAAACATTTTTTCCTTTATTTTGAGACAGCCTCACTGTGTAGATCTAGCTAGCCTGAAATTCATTATGTAGATCATGCTGACCTTGAACCCACAGAGATCTGCTTGCCTCTGCCTCTTGAGTGCTAGTGTTAAAGGGATGTATCATCATGCCTGGCTTAATATTACTTATTACTTTTTTTTTAAATGGAAGAGGAAGCACAGTATTTGTAACTTGGGAAGCTCTTGCAGCCACTGAATTATACAGCTGGAGTTCGAGCTGGGTTGGCTGCATTCTGCCTTCCTTCTCACAGGCCTGTAAATTTTTTTGGAAATTCTGATACAATTAAGACTTTAAAAAACTTGGAAATCATTGTGCCTCTTCTGCTCACTAACCTGTGGTCACTTCCTAATTTTCACAATCTGCTATTAGAGCTCATGTGGAAGGCCTTATGCAGTAGAGGCCAACTGTCTGCCTGAGGCTTACTACATTTACCCTTGTCCCTTATTCCACCTAGGGACCAGTAAAGGGTCATGAATTAAGTCATCTACTGATGGAGGAAGGTCATTGGCTAATAAAGGAACTGCCCTGGCCCATTTTTATTGGTTAGAGGATAGGTGGGAGGAGTAAACAGAACAGAACGCTGGGAGGAAGAGGAAGTGAGCTCAGAGACTCCACAGCTCTCTCGGGAGCAGACGCCTCAGAGAGAGACGCCATGCCCTGCTCCCAGGATGAAGCTCCGACCCAGGATGGACTAGGCTAGAATCTCCCCGGTAAGCGCACCTTGGGGTGCTACACACAGATGATTAGAAATGGGCTAAATTAATATGTGAGAATTAGCCTAGAAGAGAATGGGCCAAGCAGTGTTTAAATGAATACAGTTTGTGTGTTGTTATTTCGGGGCATAAGCTAGCCGAGCAGGCAGCCGGGGTGCTGGGGACGCAGCCCCGCCGCCCCTTATTACTACAATCTACTGCTCCTAAGACATAAAGATGAATTCAAACAGATACTTCCTGTTGGATCACAGTCAAAAGAAGTAAATGAACAGATAAACTAGTTGAAGGTGTGAGGAGAAGCCCCAAACTGTGCTCATGCAGAAAATACAGCCTCAAATGTTTCTCCTAAGGAAAGCAGATCCCATGACTGGGGCAGTTCTAGGGCTGACGCTGAACATCCATGAGTTTGCTACTCCATACAGAAGACCGAGAGACTTGGGTTAACAAAGGCCGAAGGAGCCGATGACAGTGAGTGGTGTGTGGAAGAAGGCTGTGGTGTGAGAAACATGGCAGGCGGGCAGGGAATTGATGCCAGAGAGATGCTCACATTTAGTCTATGCTGTGCGTCTCCAGCACCTGCACAGCTTCCTCAGAAAATCCGCAATAAAAGCTGCCTGGCTCTCATGCACTCTGGAAGACAGACAAGTCTAATTTCCTGGTATATGGTACCCATGGCACCCCTGCTCTGCCATGTCTAAAGGTGGGCAGCAGAGGAAAAGGGAGTAGTGAGAGCTACAGTATATTATGAAGCTTTCCTCTTGCTCTAAAGCACCATATTCTAATTATTAAGAATGTGACTTTTGAAAACAGGAATTACTTCATATCAGTGTGTGGTGATGTAAGCCAATTATAAACTAAAGGAGAAAAAAAATCTCCAAAAGCCACAAAACCAAATCTGTCAGCTCATCTACAGTTTTAATGCATTGTGTGATATGATACGTTTTTGCTTGCTTTGTTACTTTTTTATCACACATTTGCTATATGTTCTTTAGAAGCATGGCTCTATTAAGTCTTCCTATGCTACTGGGCTTAGGAATCTCCTTTTCCATGTGTTATAATTTTATACACACTAGGCCTGAATGTCTGTCACTTTGTTCTCAAACCTGTGTCCATTTTTACACATATTATGACAAATCTTCCCCTGCCCCCACTTCTATGCTTATGGGACTAAAATGAACAAATGTACTTACTCAGGAGATAAACTGTCTCTTCTACAAAGTTTCTTTGTTGGCAGATCTCAAGAGCCTTCAATTAAAGCAGGGAGAAATGTTACTATGGACTACAGAAATGGAGAAAAACATTAAGAGAGCCACTTAAAGATACTTACAAACTTGGAAGAACTTTTCATTGTTTTCCTTAAAAAATATATATAACAAAAGAAAACACATCTCTGTGGCTCTTTGTTTCCATTCACCTTTCAGAGTTACTAGGATCTACAGAGCTGAACTGAGAGCCCACGAAGCCACACAGTGTTTCATCAGCAGAAGCAGTGAGCAAAGTTGGGATGTGTTTTCCTACTAAGCTTTCTCTCTTCTAGATGCTTGAGTAAACACCATTGCTTCCAATCTCATCTACAGTCATTAGTGTATTTGTCCTCTCATAGTGAAAAGATGCACTGTGTACAGTTTCTGGCCCCGCCCGGCGCCAGCCTGGGACAGGGAGCTCAGAGGTTCCTTGGCCCCCTATCCTTCTTAGGCTCTCTGCAGGGCCTCTACTCCCAGCATACTGCCTCTTTCTCCCTAGCCCACCCAGCTTCCATCCAGAACCCTCCCCACTTCGGCCCCACCGCCCTCTTTCGGCACATAACATCTCCCAGCCCAGCCTGTCTGGGCACTGGGTCCAAATCCTCGGGGCACCCAAGCGGGTGGGAGTTCCTTTGCTTCTATGGCTTGCCTGCACCAAGCAGGGTAGGCGCTCTGTTTGCAAGCTGCCCCATCAGGACGGAGGCCTGATCTCTCGGCACTAGGAGAGCCAGCGTTGGGGAGAGCCAGTGTTGGGGCACCAGGAGAGCCAGCATTGGGGAGAGCCAACATTGGGGAGAGCCAGCGTTGGGTAGGCAAGGAGACCTGATCCAGTAAAAGAAGATCCATAAGGGAGCATTTGGAAGAAGAGATGGGCAGATGCCAAGGCAAGAATTCGCCCAACAAGCTGAAAAGCAACATGAAGCCACCAGAAACCAGTGACCTCGCAACGGGAGGACATGAACACCTTAATCAAGAAGAAGTAGAAAAGATTGACTTCATGAAAGTGATTGACGCCCTTAAACAGCATGTAAAAAACGCCCTTATAGAAATGGATGAGAAATATAACAGAAAGTTTGAAGAATTGATTAAATCAGTGATACCCTAGAAAACCAAGAAAAAACAATCAAACAGATAATGGAAACAGTTCAAGACTTGAAAACTGAAATGGAGGCAAAGAAGAAAACACAAACAGAGGGCCGGCTAGACATGGAAAATTTAAATAAACAAACAGAGTCTACAGAAACAAGCATAACCAACAGAATACAAGAGTTAGAAGAAAGAATCTCAGATTCTGAAGATACCATAGAGAAAATAAACACAGTGATCAAAGAAAACATCAAGCCCAACAAACTCTCATCACAAAACATTCAGAAAATATGGGATACAATAAAAAGGCCAAACCTAAGAATAATAGGAGTAGAAGAAGGAGAAGAAGCACAGCTCAATGGTCCAGAAAATATATTTAATAAAATTATAGAAGAAAACTTTCCCAACCTAAAGAAAGATATACCTATGAAGGTTCAAGAAGCATACAGAACACCGAATAGGCTGGATCAAAAAAAAAAAAAATCCCCTCGCCATATAATTATCAAAACACAAAGCATACAGAATAAGGAAAGAATATTAAGAGCTGCAAAGGAAAAAGGCCAAATTACTTATACAGGTAAACCTATCAGACTTACACCTGACTTCTCCATGGAAACCATGAAAGCCAGAAGGTCCTGGATAGATGTACTTCAGAAACTGAGAGACCATGGATGCAAGCCCAGATTACTATACCCAGCCAAGCTTTCGTTCACTATAAATGGAGAAAATAAAATTTTCCAGGATAAAAACAAATTTAAACAATACACAGCCACAAATCCAGCTTTACAGAAAGTAATAGAAGGAAAACCACTAACCAAGGAGTCCGCAATGACCACAATAGCTCAGACATCTAGAGACCCTTCACCAACACAAATCAAAGAAGGGAAACACACAAACTCTACGACTAAAAAAGTGACCGGAGTTAACAACCACTGGTCATTAATATCACTTAATGTCAATGGACTCAACCTACCTATAAAAAGGCACAGGCTAAGAGATTGGATAAAAAAACAGGATCCAACATTCTGCTGTGAAGGCGTAAGTCACAAACAATGCCACACCAATTCGGGGTTATGATTATTAGGGTGGTATTTATTTAAAGGGGAAAAAACTTACAGATCACTGTCCCAGGCAACAGCCCTCTACGCAACCAGGAAAGGAGTCTAGTCGCCGGCGGAGCAGGAAGTGAAGAGAGAGAGGAGAGGGAAGTGGCCGCTTTTTTAAAGGGAGAGAAACCATGCCCCAATGGGCTGGTACCTCAGCGGTGATAGGCTGGAGGAGTGGGAGGACCTCCCGCAACACCTCCCCCTTTTGTTTAAATAAGAGAGTTCTAAACCTACTATGAAATTATATACAATAAGTACAAATATCCTATTCTAACTAGCTTAGGTCTTGTATAATAAATAACTTGGCCAAGTCATGAGAGAAAGTAACTACATTTATATAGTCTTCAACCCCATCAAAGATCTGAGAAGGGAAATAATGTTGCCTGGGTAATTAGGAAGTTCAGTAAAACAACTTCCAAAACATGCAACAAATCACAGAGACAACTGGCTACCTGGGCAATCACCCAAAATCACATTAGCAGCGTTGAAGCAACCAACTTTGGCTAAGGCCTAACATAACTGACATACCATTTTCAAAGGCAAGCAACTTTTCAAAACTATCTTACCCTGTCTTGGCAGGATATGACAGCCCTGTTTTATCCATTGATGCACACTCTGTATCTTTGTCAATCGTTGAGGTATGGGCATTTCTTTGCCCCAAGGCCAGTTTGCCAAAAAGAAGGCTCCAGGTGGAGTGTCTTTGGTGCTCAACATTCTCTCGGGAATAGAGCGGTGTTGCCAGGAACAATTGTGTCTCACTACCACAAAACTCTGAGTTAGATTAAAGGCCATTTTCTACAGCTCCTTGAAGAAGTTGAAGATTATCTATCTATACTGAGTATAATCTCTATATATCTAAAGAACCTGATTAGTCTAATTATAAATGACAAACTTAGATGACTATTAATCTATATAATTCTCGATATCTATCTAACTTAAAGACTAAGAAAATAAACTACTGTGAAACAAATGAGGACAATGACCTCCAAAAATAAACAATGTACAAATATACATTGCAGTAGGTAAATATATATCAATACACAAATCATTATATAAGTATCTTAATCAGAGGTAGAAATGTACACTGCAATATGGTAAATATATACAATATATATATATATATATCAATACAATATATGTCAATACATAAAAAATGTTTTAAACAGAGGTAGAAACATGCATGCGTACAATAGTCAATATAATTTAACTTTGTATCAATATACAAGAATCTATAGCAATATATTTGTCTAAAGACAGTAACTCACAATTACAAATCTATTATCCCATCATCCCTCTTTTTTTTTTTCAAAATGATCCCTGAGCTTATAAAATTCCTCCCCCAACCCTCAATCATATACTAATTATAATCAACCCCTAAATGATGTCCCTAAACCCAAGGGCAAACTTTACTGGGAGAGGGGATGTCGTCCTCTAGAATTACTTCCAGCTGTCATGGGGGCGACGTTCTTTCTGGGGGATCCTGTGAAAGTGAAATGATGGTTAAATTTCAAGATCAATGTCTTTTAAAATTGCCAATAGTCTCTGAATATTTTGTGCAGGTCTGGCCAAAATGTTGTATAAGATGTGCACCATTTCAGCTAACCAAGTTGGAACTGTCTTGTGCAGCTGGTACCCAAAGCAGGTCTTGTAGTAGCGCTATCAGTATCATGACGTCATATCAACCAGGTGGAGTTGTTGTTATGGGGCCCCATCTTCTTCCTGGAAACTTCAAATGTCACTTCAGGAAAAACTCATTGTTCATTATGAAAAACTTAAACATTAATCATATAGACATATATAGACATATATATAAATATTCAATGAAAGACATGATAGATATATTCAATGAAAAGTATGATAGATATGAAGAAAAACAAAGATGTTTTCTAAACTCATATTTCTTTCTGTCCCATATCATGGCTCTTGACATGAGACAGAAACTCCAGAAACTCTGGGTTTTTCTCTTACTAACAGGCTTGGAATTGGAGAGGGACTGAGCCAGAGTCCAACTTCAAAACCAGCTTTATAAATTTAGAAATATGGTTTAATATTACTTACACAACCCTTTCAGTTTTCTTGATATTTCCTATTGGGCAGGTATTTTTCCATCTGTCAGTATCCAAATATCCAGGGTCCCTTGAATTTTTCAAAGATGAGTGTTTTCCTGTGGAGATAAGAACAGAACCCTGCCCCCATTCTATAGGTTTTTCTTACCACCTGTATGAATATCATCATTGTGGATAAGTTGTCATTTCTCCTTTCCAAGAGGTTTCTCCTCTTTAAATCGAAACTTTATTAATTTTGATGGTATCCACAATTTTTCTTCTCCTGTGGAAACAAGAGCAAAACCCCTTCCCCAACGTAGCACATCTCCTGGCTTCCACTGAGAGGTCAGCACATCTTTGAAATAAATCGGTTGATTTAGTTCAGCAGACTTTTCCATTATCCAATGTCTTTCTGCTGCTGTCGTTCCTTTCTCATTAGCGTTAAGAAAATTCAAGGTTAATAAAGCATTATCTAATCTATTTCTGGGGGTATTTTCAGTCTCTTTCTGTTTGTTCAGCATATCCTTTATAGTACGATTTGATCTTTCTATAACTGCCTGACCTGTAGGATTATTTCGTATACCTGTAATGTGTTTTATATTATAATAATCAAAAAAGCGTTTCATTTTCTTAGATACATATGCTGGACCATTATCTGTCTTTATTTGCGCAGGTATACCCATGATGGCCATAACTTCCAATAAATGTGTGATTACTGAATCAGCCTTTTCTGAGCTCAGGGCAGTAGCCCATTGAAAACCTGA